CCCCAGTATGTGCTGATGTCGAGACATAATGCAGGGGGAAAAGATTTTTTGGGGGGTACCGTAGAAATGGTTTTATTCAGCAGAGCAGAGCAGCTCAGTTGTTTTACAGTATTCATTACTGCTGAGCAAAAGTTGTTGTGGACTCGGGCGGTATTTTCACAATAAGCTATTGTGTAGCTTGTGCTTTCATGAGTTCCAGAAGTGTCAGTAAGGCTCCAATCCACTCAGATACAATCATAACAATATACAGCAATATTGCTGGTATAAATTTATCAGAACTTGTTATTGCAGTCTGTCACAAAACCTTTCTTTTGTAACTTCTTCTCTAAAATTACTTCTACTGCTCAAAAAAACTACAGATTTTATAACTATAACCTTAAATGTTGAAAGTGGAATAATCGGTGTTATTTATTAACTATTGAAAGTTAAATTAAAAATGAACTAGAATCAAGATAGTATAGTAAAATTAATATTTTCCCTTTTTTGTTAGGGAATAATAACCAATACATGCAAGACAGATTAAAGAATTTATTCAGAAATGGAGATGGATGGATTTTTTAAAGCCAGACCAGCACGTTTAGTTAAACACTTAAACGACCTAACATGGATCTATTTGACTCACTTCAAATGTGGAAACAGTTGAATCCTTAAAAATTGAGATACAGAAATTAATGTATTTTTTTATTTTTTTATATTTAATGTATTAATGTATGGATTAGACTCAGATGACCCATCATGCCAGAATGAAATCCCAGCAGAGATATGATTTAGGACAGCATGCCCCGGAGTCTAAACGCTGCTGATGGTGAAAATGAATACAGAAGCTTTAATAGAGTTCTGGCTGAGGGGTTTAAACAAGATGGGGTAGAGGTGGGTTCTGTGGGAACAGAGATTTAAAACATGCAAAGCAGAGGCTGATTGGCAAAAGAAGGCCGGTGAGAAAATGACTGGACTAGAGTAATGACGTCAGTATTGAGATTGACGGTACAGGGAAGCAGTAGTCGTGTAGAAAACAGAAAAGCAGCTGAACACACAGGGAGGCAGGCAGATAAGTGATTACAGATCCTCATTGAACTTACGCATAAGCTTCATAAACTCCATAAACTCCATAATGATAGTGGGAAACAGTGTACACTGGGTTATTGTACTAATTTTTGTTTCAAATGTGGCTATGTTTATCAAGATCTTCAAAAAACATGACATGATTATTTAATATGTTTATACTGTACAAACTACATTGGTCTTCCTGCACTGCCTATAAATCAGTCAAATCTCATGTGCCTCCAGGTGTCAGTTTCTTGGAGGGCAAAGAAGACATCTTGGAAGACTGGAGAGAAAAATTCCTGAATACTTATAAGGTGAGTCACAGACACAGGCTGTTATTTTCTAAAGTCGTGACAGTTAACAGTACCTGTTTCAAAGCAGAAGAGTCCAGTGTGTTGAGTGCTCAAATCCCAAACATCCGCAGTCTTATTGGTACAAACCGTTTATTAGGTGCTCTTCTGATTATGTTTTCTAGTTCTTATTTTGTGCTTTGTTTGTATCTCTCTTCTCAGACAGGGCTAATGTTCTGGCCATTCATGCAGGTAAATATCAGCAGCATCATCATCACCTTATGTCCATTAATATAATTGGGTGAAGCTATGTAGAGTAATTGTGCAATAAAGTTCAGGGACGAAGGGTATATATAAAAACATTTTTACACACATTTTTTAGTGGCTAAACAAAGTGACCTGAGCATCATTTATTTAAAATGTTACATATTCTGAGTAAGTACAGTATAATAAGAGGGACAGCTCAATGTCAACCAAAAGCATTTAATTTTATGTAATGTACTAGTTATTTATAATTAGAGCTAGTTGTATGTATTACAGCTATTTTTGTTGTATTTTGTAACTTTGTAATGTATTGAATTATTTATGTTAATTTAGTTAGTAACTTTTGTTGCTGTCTTGGAGCAACTGTGACCACATATTTTTCTCTGGGAAACAGTATTCTGACTCTAATTCAATGATGTGCTTTGCTACATTTGAACTATTTTCATCAAGCAAAGACCAAAAACAGACACCATCAGAAATCAAAGTCCATCATCCTCAGTGAGATCAGCAGAGCAAGGGGCACATGAAGGTTCAGGTTTAGACATAACAAAAAATAAGGACAATGCCAAGGTAGGAAGTAACACATGAAGAAAAACAAAGCTTAAGAAATAACCAAAAGACAAAATGGTAAATGTGGAGAAATGAAGGCTCACACTAAACACGAAGACAGAGACGGGGGAACAAGGAGGACAAATGCATTAGCATTAAAGGATGAGGCAAAGAAGAGAACTGAGAGGGGAATCACTGAAGACACTTAGCACAAGTAATAAACTCAAAGTAGAAACTGAAACTTAAACAGAAAATCCAGCTAAATGGGCATCCAAAAAATTCCATGAAAACCAGAGAAGAAACCTAAGTCAAATACCACAATAAAGTTACAGTTCATTGTACTGCATTAGCAGCAGAAACATGAATCAAAACACAGGATTGTAAAATGATAGCTTATTACTATGAAACTATAAAGTAAAAACAGAAATAAAATATCCTGTAGTATCACAAAAATCAATCTCACCTTCAAAAACGGCGGTGGGCTCAGTGGGTGAGCAAGCGACGATATGCCGTATGACCAGAGAGCAGTAGGACCGGGTTAGACCCTTAGCCCTTAGCTGCATGTCTTCCCCTCTCTCTCCCCGCTTTACTGTCTATCTACACCCTCTCCATCCAATAAAGGCTAAAAAAATAAAGGCTAAATACGTATCTGGGGAAGTGTTTTTCTGTATTTCTTACGTACTGTATTGGGTCATTGTCCACACCTTTTACCCTCCAGTTGCTATCCATACCACTGTGTTAAATAGCAATCAGTAGACATTTATGACATAATAGTGATGACGATATGCTGTTATCTCAATTTCTCTCAGTTTCTGAACTTTGCCTTGGTGCCTCTGTATGTGCGGACCACCTTCACTGGCTGCTGTGCCTTCATCTGGGCCACTTTCTTGTGCTTCTCACGTCAGACCGGTGACGGCACAGCTGGTGCTGCGCTGGCGTGGATGTTCCCTCATAAAGAAGATGATGCCGAATACACTAAAGAGAAAGTAGACCCAGAAGACAAGGTGGATGCCCCCAGCAAAGGGGCAAGACCATGTAAACCCACACAGTAGCAGAGTCAGTCGCTTTTATGGAAGGCGACAGAACGTCAGCTGGACTAGTGGACTGCGGTCTAACTCAGCTGATGTTACACTAACACTGCCAAGGTCACAGGTCGAAGACTCGGTGAGATAAGAGTGAAAGTGCTGAAAAAAATTCCAGCATCTTGAATGTATATGCAGAATATTTTATTATTTATGCAGTATATTAGCTCTGTGGGAAAACATTCGGATCTATCCTTCCATACCACAGTGACTATGACCATCGGCTCTTTTGTTAATTTTTATTAATGCCATCTTGTGTTTGTTCCACAAGTAAGGTCCTTTTTTTAAAAAAAAAATTAACTTGATTTGCTTGATTTGCACCAAAGTGAAAAACTGAATAGTGTACAAACGATTTCCACCATGTGGACACTGGCAGCTAATTTATTAGCTTAGAATTTTAATTAATGATGATTTGAGTTGCATTTTAAACATTTAAATCTCAGCTTAACCTTTCATCTTTGGCTGAAAGAGTGCCTGATTGCTAAGAAATATCCCAAATGTTTCCAGTTTACATTTTAGTACATGATGTACCGAATACAGACATACCCAGGTACCAGTTAGGATTGTCACAATGTACGATTTTTACCTCGCATGATTTTCATGGTCAAAATAATTCACTGATATTATTACAAAATCCATAAAAAACATCAACAAAAATAAAACTAAAGCAACAAGAAAGTCTGTAGGAATAGCTGTACAAACATGAAAGTAATAACAACCACAAAATTATCATAATTTCAGTTTTAAATATCACTGTTATTATGAATAACATCTATCATGACACCTCTAGTACCAACAATATGTGATATTGTTTTATATGGTTGTATTATCAATTTATAGGTGAATCATTTTTACATAAGAACGCTAATGAACTGAGTGCACAGTATGAATCCATTCAAGCACAAGAAAAATGTAATCAGCACTAAAACAGATCTGAAAACACAGTTTTGATTTGCACATTTTCAGTCATCGTCATTTCACTATTTAATATGCAGTACTGAGAAAGTTAAGGGTTATGCCGTGTTGGTCTAATAAAAACTGGGAAAGCTTGTCTCAAACATTCATTTACTTGAAAGGAAGAAATGTTGCCTGCCTGTTTTTGTAACCTTTGTTAATATTATACCATCGCATGGGCTCAACCATCTCTATAAATATTACTTTATAGATACTTTATAGAACTTGCCTGCATAAAACATGTTAAATCAGACGCCTCTGGCTTTTATAAATCGAGTGCAGCTAGAGTACAGCAGTTTGTTATGTTATATATAGACTTTAATCGCATACTTCTCTTTTCTGTTTCACACAGATAATTAACTTTTTCTTTCTGTTTCCATGTACTACTGGAATTTATGGAGAGCGTTTTTGGTACGTTTGAGCCTAAAATACAGTTTGCGATTACATATTCATTCTGAGTGTGTGTGGCTATAACATTTCATCTGTCTCACAAGGCAAAATTAGTGCTGTTAATAACATATTAATATATGAAGCACTGCTGGATCTGAGGTAAAGAAAAACATTTTAATCACTACTGTATCTTTTATCAGAGATTGGAGTGTATGTTTCTTAATAATAACTTCCGATTTCCTGACTGTATGTGTGCTGATACCCTGGAGCTGAAATGTCCAAGAAATGAATATTCCTTTTGTTTCTTTGCTATTTTTCCACAGTCAAAACCTTCTGTTTTTACTGGTTTTGTTGTCACAGAGCACAAAGGGCTGCTGTTGACTGTGAAAACTCATCTAATTACTTCTGCACTAACCGCTGGAAATATAGTAATAATATTTATTGTTGAATAAATCAAAAAAATGTCATTAATTTATTGTTGGATTTTTTTCTTTTTACTGAGCACAGTGAGAACACCATTGTAGCTACACAAATGAAATGGACATTAATGAGCTTGGTCTTGTACCTACAACAGAACAATGGTCAATAGCCTCACAGGTTTCTTCACAAAAGGTGCCTTTTGTTTGTTTTGGCTTGAGTTCAAGAAGAAAATCCCTCCTATGGATTACTTGCCATTTAGATGGACTACAGGTATTTTGAGAATATGTCAATCAAAGCTTGTATATAAAGCACTTCCCACTCATAGTTGAACTCTATAGCCTTTGTACGCACTTTTGCAAGTTAGTAAACTTAAACAATGAAGCTTCCTTTTTTCCA